TCTTCCTCGTTGTTTACCATTTCATCAACAATGACTTTAGCTTCTTCTTCTTCTTCGTCAACAACATCGACTTCAGCTTGTTTGTCATCAGATTCGTAAAAAACTTGAGAAGAATCAAGTTGTTGAGACAGTTGTTGTTGTTGTAACGTAATATATAGCTCAATATCAGTGAAACTAGAATACTCATGACTGAGAAACATATTACACACATCTTCATCGTCTCGAATCTTTAACTAGAAAAATTTGCATTGCTCGTGCCCGCCAAAAAAACACAGGATTCTTGTAGATGATTTGGCCAACTGGACCACATTGTAGTTTCTTTTCTAATCTCGCTTTCAAATTAAAAATTTTGATCTTCTGTCAATCAAAAACCTAGTAACTTTCGTATTTCGAAAATTGAAACCGGTTATGTTACATTAAAAAATCTCACCATTTAGATATGCACTGATCATGCATTGTGGTGTTTGAGGCATAATAAATACGTTACTAAACTCGTGTTTGGAAGAATTGTTTTACAATTTTTAGTGTTTGGAAGAATATGTTATTAAATGATATGTTACTAAATGATATGATAATAAAACATATATCTTTAGTGTATTAACACACATATAGTTTAAATATAGTATTGTTTTTCTCAATTATCAATGTAATTCTTTTTCCATGCAATTGTCTTGTCTCATTTATATCTTCTCATCACATGTCTTGTTCTATTATTATTATTTACGTTATTATTATTATTATTACCTACTATCATTTATTATTATCACATGGACTAACACATGTCTTAAAATATTATTCATTATCACATGCATGCACACTTCTTATCATGCCTACAAACTACCATATAGTCTTGCATACCTACAAGATTCTCACATGCCTACACTTCAAAGGTTATACTAAATTCTTACCAACTACACTTACAAGACATTAAAGTCATAATGTAGTAAAAAACAAAACCATTGTCTTGCATGCCTCATGTGATTCTCTGCATGACAAGACTACACTCTATCAAGCAATGACTTCACATGCAATGACTGCAAGATTCTCTGCATGACAATGACCAATAATCTTGTAAGAGAACACTTGCACACTTCCTTGCACAAAGTTCATCATATTTCACCATGCATTAATAGTGGAAGTTGTCACATGCCTACACTATTAGTCTTGCAGGACTACACTTTCAAGACTACACTAAAGTCTTACAAGCATACTATTTATTGCCTTGCATGTCTCATGTGATTCTCTGCATGATAAGACTACACTTTATTAAACAATGACTATAAGATTCTCTGCATGACAATGACCAAGAATCTTGTAAGAGAACACTTGCACGCTTCCTTGTACCATTCTCATCATGTTTCACCATGCATTTTCATGTGACTCCTCTCATCACATTTCACCATTATAAATAAATGTTCATCACGGGTACAAACTCTTCTCATCATATTACAAACTCTACTCATCAAACTTTCAGCAAGCCAATAACTTTATCACAACCTACCATTAGAACGATTACTAAAAAATGTCTCTACTCACAATGGTCAATGATCACAGAGGAACAATTGAGAATATCATAGAGTTTGTAAGTGTTTTTCTTTATTTGTTTTGTCATCCCTTACTAAGTTGTATTTTTCTTTAAAATTAAGGGTATTTATATTCTTTGGTAGAATGTATCAAGGTTTCGATGTCGTGTGCATGACTACATACCACACGACCCATTCATAGAAGGATACCTAAATTCATGTGGCTTTGGTGATTTGATAAAAATCAAACCGTACTCACTAGACCCCAAATTTATTCTAGCCTTGCTAGGAACATTAGAGACCAGAGAACCACACATTTCACCTTGCTTTCGGTGAATGCACTATTACACTACAAGATGTCTACACGTTACTTGGCCTACGCATCGATGGTAAGGCCGTCAACGACAAAGTTGGTGTTAATAACCAACTTTGTGAATATTTGTTAGGCGCCCCTCTCTATGTCAAAACACCTCAGCCACAACGTGAAGGTCGACCGAAGGGCCAAGGTATTAATTTAAAATACCTAAGATAAAGTTACAATAGTATCGTGTTAAACGAGGAATCCACAGAGTATGAGAAGATATTTAAAATTCGGTGCTATATTATGATCTTATTTGGACATTTTTTATTTCCAGAAAGTATTGGAAATAGTGTAAATATTATGTATTTACCATTGTTGCACAACATTAATAAAGTATGCACATATAGTTGGGATTCAACTGTCCTCGCTCATCTATATAGTTCACTGTGTAAAAATTCAAAAAAAAAATTATTGTACTTTTTATGGTTGCGCCTATCTCCTTCAAGCGTGAGGTTGGTCTAGAATGCCAACACTGGCTCCTATCAACCGAAATCCATTCACATTTCCCTACGCAAACAAGTAAGTTTAGTTTTAAAAATCAAAACGTGTATACTTTGATGAAATGTTTATTTGTAACTAATTTATTTGAGTCACTTTTTTTTAGGTGGCCTATTCTAGGAATGAATTACCAACAATGTCCCGGGAACTCAATAATCGTCTACCACAACCTTTTAGAACACATTGGGCCGGACGATGTAATTTATCTACCAACGATGTACCATTAATTTGTCTATTTAATTACCACATCCTTGTTTTTCTCATTAAATATATTGTTCATGTAGTTTGTCTGGATGTCATACGAGGGTCTCGACTATGAGCCCGACGCCAATGATGCTGCAGTGTGGACATCTAAAACACATCATTCAGTTCACTACAGTGGAGATGCACCAAAGTGGTCGGGTGAAACTATAGTTCGACATGCATCAGGATATTCCAGTCGCTCCGACGTCTTTGGAAGATTGGCATCAACTTAGGGTGGATACACAATGGAGTGTAAATCATTAGAAAGACTTTGCAAAAGAGATGTGTCTACATTGGAAGAATCGACATCGACACATCTTAACCGACCCTGTTGTGAAAGTGGCTAGATCAAGTTATCAATATATGATTTGGTTTAGATCGGTTACAACAACACAACAGTTTGTGTCTGAGCCGACATATTTGATTGACCCGCGGCAACATGCTTTTTCCTCAAACATACAACAACAACAAAATGACCAACATCAAACACCATGTTATATCCAACAACCAAGTATACCCACCCAATCAATCTTCCAGAATCGCAACACATTCATGCCACCAACCCAAACAAGAGCCTTACCCCTACCGCTAGCCTCGTGATACCGATATCACTTCTGCCTATAGCCCGATAATTCTTTCGACCCTACCCCATCCCACTATAGTCCTGATAACTCTTTCGACCCTACCCCAATCCATTATAGCCCCCACGAATGAACACACAATCGTCCTACCATCAAAATACCTACCCATTTTTTGACTACCAAATCCCACAACAACCATTGCATCGTTTCCAAAACGATTCAATGTACCAATTCGGCCAACCATATTGTCCACACCCAACCCAACCACCCCGTCCCACCTACGAAAGCATGGGCATGGAACTGAATTACGGAAGCGTCGTTGGCAACAGCCCCGACTATTTGGGACAAATGCTTTAAAATTTATCTGATACGTCGGGACCATCTCAACAAATACATCTTCCATATGTCAACACGCAAAGACCACAAACACCTCAACAAAATCGTGGTAGACCTCCACGCCGCGCAAATTCACCGCCATATGGAATCGGTGGACGTTTTGATAGGGTCGGTCAATACATTTTTTTTATCTATTATACGCTTTTTTGCTTTTTTATATTACAAATATTATAATTTAATTTTTCTTTTAATTTTTTTAAACTTATTTAAATTTAATTTCTTAATTTTTTAATATAAAATAATAATTAATATAAAAAAAAAGCAAACAACTAAGGCGCCATATCATATGGCGTCTCTTTTGAAAATATGAATTTTTTAAGGCAAAATTATAATGACGCATATAATCATTTTCTATTGCTACAACCATAGCATAGCATGCATGTTGAATGTAAGTCATATTGGTCTTTTTTTTAAATCAAAGTTAATAATATATTTTTTTTAAAAAAATTAGGTTATTTAAAAAATCGCCACAACTTCTAGCAACCACGCAAAGAATAATAACGCAGCAACTATGCAACACACACGTGGCAGAATCTGAGTAGCTCACACGCATTAGCTTTTGTAGACCCGATTGCAGAGAAAAAAAATACTCCGCGTCTCGTCTCATGACTTTTATTACCCAGTAGCCGCTCTTTTTTATACTGTTAGATCTCCTCTCTCTCACTGTCTCTCTACAACTATCCTCTATATATAGCTAGAGAGAGAAAGAAAAAACGCGGTGAAGAAAACTAACACACGCCACTCTCAGATCTCTCCGTCTTAAATACACTTCTACTTCTAACTAACTAACTCATCCTCCATTAATGGCTTCTTGACAAGGTTTCATATATTCCTCGACTCTTTGCTCAATTCAACTTTTGCATAAGCTTTCTTTTTATATAACTATATATTGCAATTGCACTTCAATTATTCTTTATTTGTTTTGGTTCTTCGATTTCCGTTCAATTCTAGGGTTTAATCTAAGCTTAATATAGTAGAATTGCATTACGCTTGTTCAATTTTCAGCAAAATCGAACAATCGGTTTTGCTAGTTTTGTTGAGAATCTGTTCTGATCTGTTAGAATCTGATCTGTTTATATGAACGCAGTGCCATCTTTAGTAACGATTGTTTGGAGAAGCAATTGGATCATATGAGGTGTTCATTTGGTTGGATTGCTTCGCCAGCTATCGATTCAGATGTTCAATTTTTGCAAGCTTGTTGTTGTTGTAAGGAAATTTCCCTCAGAGTTACACAGGTTAGTGTTAATTTTGCTATTCGTGTAGGATTGTGAGGAAATGAATTGGAGTTATGTGAATGGGAATTTATTTGCAGGTGAGCAAAGTGAAACCGTATTCTTTGATCCAAGGAAGTACTGTTTTGCAGTTCCACGAGGTTGGTAGAGGTGGATATAGGTTATCATGGCAGAAGGAGAGGAGCGTATCGAACTTAAGTTTCGCATATATGATGGGACGGATATAGCACACGATACTTATCCAGCTTCTACTACAACAGTTGGTACACTTAAGCAAAAGCTAATTGCTGAGTGGCCTCAAGGTTAGTAGTCGTTTTTGTGGGATATGTGTTTGTATTTTTCAGTGAATGAGTGTTTATGCATTAATATTTAAGTTAATGCATAAACACTCTTAATGATCAAAATGATGTTACAAATTTTCGGAGGACTGATTTTAAGTTAAGTGTGTTTTTTGAGCACCAAAATGCTAGTTTAGTCTTTTCTCACATTAGTTTATACAGGTAGGAAGTTGATAATTCGTTTTTCTTTTATATTGAATCATTATTTTCAAACACTATATTCTTATTTTATTCAATAAAGAACTTGTTTAAAACGTATATCAAAGTTACCTATTACAAATATCAATCCTTTTACAGAAATGCATATACTGCTCTTCTGTACTTCTACTTGTGAGTCCTCTCTCACTTGTTCAGCCAAAAAATAAAAGAAAGCATTGCTACTCTTGCAGATAAACGACATGACTCCTTTTCCTTTTCTCATAAATAATACATATATCCTTATAAAAAACATATATCGGTATATCATCATTTATAATCTGTATCGCATGTTTGCCTTGGCATTTAATGAGATCTTCTGATTACAGGAAAAACCGTTATACCAAAATCAGTCAATGATGTAAAACTTATACACGCCGGTAAAGTTTTGGAAAACACCAAAACGCTTGCTGATTCCAGAATAACTTTCGGTGACATCCATGGTGCTATTACCATGCATGTTGTAGTACAGCCTCCTATAGCTAAAAAAAAGACAGGTTTGTTCAATCTTTTTATCTGTGCTTTTGCTGAAGTAGTCTGACTCCGAGTACCTGTTTTCTGGTAAAGGAATAACATATTAATCATATGAAAAATAATGAGTAATTGGAATCATGAGATAAATACAATTTCATAAATACTACTATGATGTTTTCAACATAACTCTGTAAAATATATCAAGTAAGCAAAACTTGTTAGGAAATTACGCACATTTCCTCATAGTCAGATTTGTGGAATAACGATATAAATGTGGAATAATAACACACACAATTTATAAAGGCTCCTAAGACTTTTTATTTAATAGAAAATAAAATACACATTGTATTTAAGAATTTCTCTCACTGGTGTATTTCTTTAATTATTGAAAATGCTCTAAATGTTAGAATGAATATTGTTTTGGCTTTGACTCTTATATATAGTCAAAGCATTGGATGCATCATCCATAATCCATTCATTACGGTTCCTATAAAATAGAAACATCTTACTTCTAAATAATAAGAAAATAATGATCATCCAAATAATAGAAAACAAAGACTTTTTCAACAATCTCCCACTTGAAGATTGACTTCAGTCGGTCTTCACACCTCGATCATGCAGCAGCCTTCTCTGGTATGTTATTCTAGCAGGCCAACTGAAGTTGAGCACAACTTCAGTTTATCAATAGTCACCACCTTTGTCAACATGTCAGCTGGGTTCTTACTTCCGAGAATCTTCCTCAACGTTAGTATCTCATCCTCAAGCAGAATTCTGATGAAGTGATAACGGAGATCAATGTGCTTCGTTCTAGAGTGGAATGCTGAATTCTTAGCCAGATGTATTGCACTCTGACTATCGCTGTGCAAAACACTCCTCTCTTGGATGAACCCCAACTCTGTCAATAATCCTTGAAGCCATATCAACTCTTTACTAGCTTCTGTTACTGCTACATACTCAGCCTCTGTAGTGGATAGAGCAACGATATTTTGTATCCTCGATATCCAACTAACGGCTGTAGTACCAATAGTAAATATGTAACCGGTGGTACTTCTTTGATGATCAACTTCACCAGCAAAGTCTGCATCTACATAGCCTTGTACCTTTAATTCACTTTTACTAAAGCACAAACACTTCTCCTTAGTGCCTCGTAGATACCTCAAAATCCATTTCACAGCTTCCCAATGAGCTTTACCTGGATTTGACATAAACCTGCTTACAACTCCCACTGCATGAATGATCGAGGTGTGAAGACCGACTGAAGTCAATCTTCAAGTGGGAGATTGTTGAAAAAGTCTTTGTTTTCTATTATTTGGATGATCATTATTTTCTTATTATTTAGAAGTAAGATGTTTCTATTTTATAGGAACCGTAATGAATGGATTACGGATGATGCATCCAATGCTTTGGTTATATATAAGATGTCAAAGCCAAAACAATATTCATTCCAACATTTAGAGCATTTTTAATAATTAAAGAAATACACCTGTGAGAGAAATTCTTAAATACAATGTGTATTTTATCTTTCTATTAAATAAAAAGTTTTAGCGGCCTTTATAAATTGTGTGTGTTATTATTCTGCATTTATATCGTTATTCCACAAATCTGACTATGAGGAAATGTGCGTAATTTCCTAACAATTGTTGAATCTTTGCAAAACACGGTTGATGTACTCCACCTGAGATAACTGCAACATTCCTCTTTGCATATCTCTTGTGATTTGCATTCCAGTGAAGAAATCCGACGGAGAGTTGGGTGAATCATCAACCTCTTCAGTATTGCATACCATTGCGTACATCAAACTTCCAATGGCTGAAGCATACGGAATCAAACTTACAATTTCATAAATACTACTCTGATGTTTTCAACATAACCCTGTAAAATATATCAAGTAAGCAAAACTCACAAAAGATGGTACAAGATTTGAAGGTTGTTTTATTTAGTAACAAACCAATCAACTTATTATTTATTAATTATTATCAAAACTTGGTCTTTTGATTGAACTAGCTTGTGAGATCACCTCATTGCAATGCCAGATCAATAAGCACCCAAGGTTAAGTGACAGCAACAAATTTAGAATAAAAAAAAGTTGTTATTATACATACAGTTATCATACATTATAATAACAAGAGCTTTTATTTAGCCCATTTTAATTTAAAACAACCATTTAAAGGTAACTCATACATTATACTCCCTCTGGTTTTATTTACAAAAAATTTTGTTTATTAGATTCATTGAATAAGCAGTGTATTTGAATAAAATATAGATCAGATACATTAGTTATATTAATTATTGAATGAATTTAAAAAAACAAACTTTTTCTTATAAATAGAAGAGGAAGTATATTAAAATTCTATGTAGTTAACATATAATTAATGTTTCACTTGCATTACTGCAAGTATATTCATTTAGTGATTTAGATTTAGTTGCCTTTGAGAAGTATTTTTAATGTTTGACAAACTGAAGCGATATATTGCTATATTTTTCATGTGCTTTTTCTCTTGGCTTCTTCGCAGAGAAAAAGAAGAAGGAGAACATGCAAAAGAAGAGTTCATGCTCATGCACTATCCTGTAGATTAGAAAGCACGCCTTGTGGTTCCTCTGGAGGATGATGGGTAGGCAGTGAACTATCCAATGGTATTGCGACAAGACATTTATGGCTTTGTTAAATCATTGTTGCTTGCTTCTATTAATGTCAAATATTCATTTCTAGTTTGTCTTCAGAATGAAATCAGATATCAGCATTGTAACATCTGACCTCAAAAAGCACAATAAGTGTGTTGCATGCCACAAACCGAGCGCGGTGGCTATATAACTTCAGCTCATGCAGCCCCAAGCATTCAGTGAATGCATATTTGTTTGGCAGTAAATATTTTTAGGTAACTAAAATCAACCACCATTGTAATATTTGTTTGGAAGTAAATATACATATGATTTAGCTGGTTGCATTAAATGTACCCCGTCAATGTTTAATGACGCCAGAAGAGGGTGAATTGATAAAAACTGCTATCTATGAAGGAGGAACTTGTGGATATTTTTTCAAAACAATTTGTGTAATGTAAAATTCATTTAACCGCATCTTCAATCCAGATTTGTAAGGTTTATATAAACTTTTGGCCAAAATTACCATTTTAAATACTAAGGTGATGTTATCAAAGTTTAAACTGACAATTAGACACTGCCAAAACTAGACTATAAAGTTTGGAAGGGCCACAAAATTAAACTATAATTTATAAATAAAATATTTTAAATGCAATAAACACAAAGTTGAACATAAAATAATTAAAAAATATTACTTAAAAATATCTTATAATAATGCTTTACAATTTTTGAGTAGCTTGAAATCCTCAATAATAGTCTTAGAATCAATATTATAATAGTCTCAATAACTCTCAATATTATTTTTGAGTAGCTTGAAATCCTCAATAATAGTCTCAGAATCAATATTTGCAGTAATTTCTCTTTCAATGTTAAGTGTCATGCTATCTTCTAGAAAATCAGCTTCCGTTTTACTTCTCAATCTTGTCTTGATAATTTTCATTACCGAGAAAGATCTTTCAGTAATGGCCGTAGATATTGGGAGAGTAATGACAAGATGGAGTTGTCTATTAATCAAATAATAAATTTCATTATTTCCAGTTGCAGCTACAGATGAACATAAGTCTTAAATAGTTGATAAATTATTCAAACTCGATGTTTGGCGAGCATCAATAATAAAATGCCGAAGTTGAAATTGCAAATTAATCCTCTCTTGTTCATTAAAGTCCATAGGACAATACTTTTTAACTAGAGTACAAATGGTATCAAAGTTAAAAGCCTTGTAGTTATCCTTGGGAGGCAAAGCACGACTTAAAGTCAACAAATCAATCGCTTGCTTACTAAATATGTTATTCAACTCTTGTAATTGTTTGTCAATGGTAGTGAAAAATATTTTAACTCTAAAATAATGTCCAATGGTTACCTGGTTCTCTTCAAGACGAGAGCGTCCAAATCTTGTTGTTGAATGAACATCATAAAGTTCAGAAACCTCAATATCATGTTTTTCACAAAAAAAAACTTCACACAAGTAAACAATTTATCCCAGCCATCTTCTCTCAATTCTTGAATAAGAGCTTTTGTTGTACAAACCAAATGCATAACATTAACTACATCCTGGGATTGTTGTTGTAAGGCTTGGTAAATCATATTTGTGACACCCATAATTTCTTTCATCAGATGCAATATGAATATAAAATCAAATGATTTCAAGTAATTGTAAGCACTATCAGCATCTCCACGTGAAGTATAATTTAATCCTTCCTTTACAAATTTTTTTGAAACAATACAAGTTGCTTCATACATATTTATCAAGCTACTAATAAAAGAGAAGTGTGATCCCCAACGAGTATCTCCAGCCCGTCTCAAAGTACCAATTTAATTTTCACATTTACCAGTTACAATCTCACCAATCTCTAACAAATGTTCAATTTCATCTAATTGGGAAGCTTATAACTCATAATTACGCTTTGTAGAAGAACAAACAACATTTACAATATGAGTTATCTTATCAAATAATTGATGAACTGGTTTAACTTCTCTTGATGCGGTAACCAGGGCAAGTTGCAATCGATGAGCAAAATAATGAACATAATATGCATAAGGACAATCCTTCATAAATAGTGCTTGTAAACCGTTACATTCTTCTCTCATATTGCTAGCACCATCATACCCTTGACCACGAATGTTATACCTTTTGCTTAAGAGTTAAAGATGTAGTGTCATTAACACGTGCAAGGCCAAAAAATCTCTCTTATATAAAACCATCTTTATCAACAAATCTCAAAACAAGAGACATTTGTTTTTTTTAGATGCATCACAAGCTTCATCTACAACTATACAAAATTTGGAATCGCCAATTTCTTCACGGATATGCTTTTTTACCCTACTTGAAAGAATATACAAGATCTCTTTTTGAATTATATGTGAAGTATACTTGCTATTAGATGGAGCATTTTCCAACACAAATTTTGCAACTTCATCATTGTAAAATGCCAAGAGTTTTATCAATTCAAGAAAATTACCTTGGTTTAATGATTCTTTACTTTCATCATGACCTCTAAAAGCACAAGCTTGAAAAGTTAACCAACGAATTGTGTCAATTGAAATCTTAAGATGTAGTCGATTCTTCATAATTCCAATTGAAATTTGAGCTTGAATAATGTTCCTAATATGCCCATCTTGATTTAATAGATCTTGACAAGCTTTCATAGCATTATTGTGTGGTGAACAAGGATCCCTCCCTATGTGTTTAAGAAATGCACAATTCTTTCAATTTTTAAATTTCTTCCAACCTCTAAAACCTGTAGAAATGAAGACATCTGAACAATGACGTCCACTTGGTCTTTTGCTAAAAAGATAACATGGTAAGCAATAAGCAGCATTTTTTGAAGGTGAATATTCTAACCACGAAGGAAAAAAAGGCTAAACCAAACGTGTTAAAAATCTTCTTTGCTGGTCTTCTTTACCAGACAATGGATATTGCTCTAAATGCATTTGATATGAACCCTATTTCAAATAAGTTCTTCGTATTTCATCCATTTGATTTAATGGATATTCCCACATCGGAGGACATTTTCCAGGATCACGTTCTAAAGAATTCTCAATGTCATTTGGGAAAACTCTATTAACATTTTCTTGAATTCTTGGATTCTCACGAACTCTTTGAGGTTCAGCATAGAAGTTAAATTTTCGTCATCTCTTTATTTCCTCTTGAAAAAAGAATCAATTTTCTACTCTTCATTAACACTGTTGTGCTGCAAAATCAATTGAAGAAATTAACAAAAAAAAATACACTTTAGTTGAGTATTGTTCAACTTCAACTAAATTTAAGCACAACACAACAAATTCCCAAAGTTCTTTAAATTCACCATAAAATTTATAAAAGAGAAACAATCCTAAAAATCTCTAAATTCACAATTCAATCTTACACAATATTCTTTAAATTAACAAAATATTATCAATTTGTGAAATTGAAGAAAAAACCTAATATTCTATTATGTAAATAAATAAATGGAAGAAAAATCATTTACCCGAAAAGTACAAAGTTCAGAAAGCGATAAGCGGAGACCATCGGTGCCATAGAGAAGAGATAGGGTGTGGAGTTGTTACTGTTTTTTTGTTTTCTAAAAACATATACAATGCATACTAGAAAACAAGGTTGATGGCAATTGTGTAATTTTAATTTTTAATAAAGGGCAATTATGTATTTTCCCAATATGAAAAAAATTTCAAAAAAATATTGGGGTGGTCGTGCCCCACCCCCGATGAAAAATCACAAATATTTTAAAATTTCGGAGATACATCTTTGGACACGTTTGTATTACACACTTTAAACGATTTAGTGAGTGAGCCACCTCATTTTTTTTCCAAAAATGTGTTTGTAGATGCATCTCACTAAACATCCTTATTTCAAAATCTAGTGTTTTACGCTCATTGAGTTTTACAAAGATGCATATCTGAACGAGTTTAATTGAAATAACTCGCGCCAGACCTTTCCGCATTCCTTCTTCGTTGGCTACACTTTTAATAACCCTTCAAAGAGGTTGAGAGCAAGATTTAAGTGCGTCATTTTTCAAGCTTCCACACCACTTCTATCTCATTGCAATCAATCTCAGAACATTCCATTCACTCCATCCAAGATTTTGCACAATAACTTTTAATCAGTAAGTTTCTCATTAGGTTGTAGTTAAATTCAAAATAGGTAGTTTGTGTAGGCATGCATTCACATTTATTGTTATATAGGAAATCACAAGGGGATCTTCTGCATTTTTTGCTATCACGCATTTTTACAAAAACGTGTCTCCGAATCTTGCCTTTCCTGTTTTACAAAGATGCATCTCTGAATTTTACTTGCCTTGATTTTCATATGATTTTCTACTTTGTATTATAGGAACAATGGTTGAAAATTAGGACAAATTGAGGCATAATCGTGTATCCTAACATGCATTCGCTCGTATGGAAAGGACAATGCGCTCGAGTCCACGAATTAGTGCTAGTTCGTTAGATGTGGAAGCGTCAACTTCACATGGTTTTGTGTCTTAGACTTCACAAGGTCAAAAGTCTTAGACTTTGACCTCCCGAGGGCGCGTGTCTCTTGCTGAACTTAAAGCCTCTGAAGCCCAATGGGAGGAATCTATTGTTGCTGCTACTCCCGTTCCTGATAGTTTTTCAAGAGGCCCCTATGACACCTCTTTACTTCCTTTCTATGTGAAACATGCTGCTAGGCATGTGTGGGAAGGATATATATATATATATATATATTTATGTTACATCTGTTTCGTACAAATTGAGTTGCGATTGTGTTGATATAATTATTTTCCACAAGAGCATGAAACGACAAAATCAGTAAACCATGCCAGGAAGATTTTGAACCTGGAAGAGAATGAAGATGCTTGGTTCCAAAATGTAGCTATGGGCTGGTAGGTTTATGCGCCACTAGATACAATATCATTAACCATGATATGTTGGCAGCTTTTGTGGAGAGATGATACAAGGAGGTGTCATCTTTCCACATCTCTCATAATGAGATGTTCATCA